CAGATAAATACAATGTCCGCAGTGTGACAGTTATATCTAGTACTGTGGCATCATGCCGCAGACGTGTAGTATTATGTCACACAGGCATATTATCCAGACTTCAGAACAACCAGTCCTAACACTAACCTCTTAATGTTAAGCGCCAAGCGAGGCCGTTAATCTTACCGTTTTGTTTTTCTTTGGTGTGAATCGACCGGGATTCGAACCCGTGACTTAACGCACTGGAGGAGCACGCTCTTATCCTTAGGCCTCCAGAGCGGTCAAATTAGTTTTATGGACAAATTTGAGTCTTACACGGAATGACAGCAGGTTACTCAAACACCAAATATAATGAAGGTATGTTCCGTCATCTGTTAAAGAATATTACGAAATAGAGTCCGATTTCGAAATCAATTTATTAAATTATATTGAACTGCGAATTGTTTTGAATTCGTTAAACAGGCCAAAATGCATTCTAGTGCCAAGACGCGGGGTGGAATGAATATAAGTTCTTTGTTTCTGTTCTCTTTCCTAACCTCCAGTTTCATTTAAAATCCACTTTTTGATTGATTTTTTGACGTGAATACATAAAACAAGCGTCTTATCATTTTCGATTACTTGTTGTTTTTCAAAGTTTATTTTCTCGTTCATTAAAGTTTTGAGTTTGATTCTTGTATGTGATATAATCTTGGAATCGCGTCATATTTATTGAAGCAGCCCATTTATAGAATTTAGTGTATTTGTTCACATAAAATGATGTAGTTCACCTTAAGCTATTGACGTCTCCCTTGCTTCATATGTAATCTTACAGCTATAGTATTGTTTTCAGTAGGAATATAACTCCATATACCACCAAATATATCCGTATCGGATACTGGTTATTGCTTGCAATATAAATATATTTTAGTAAACCACCAAATATATTGAAATCAGATACTGAATGTTATGTTCAGTAGAAATATATTTCCGTATACCAGATATATTCGTATCGGATACTGAACATTTTTTCTCAGCTAAAAGGTTTAATACAATATTCTTAAATGTTTCACATAATACCTTCCAAATAATTAAGCAAAAAATGATAAACCTGTCTTGAAACAATTCAGAATGGAATACACGAATGAAGTGAATTATTTCAACAGCAGTGTCATTCATGCATCGAATCCAGAACTATTTACAGTTCAATTTGTTTTTGCTTACATACTTCAAAGGTATTATGTGAGTCATTTAAGAAATTTTAATTAAAGATGACGAATAATTTCAAACGCTTGTGCACCTCGTCAGGGAAATAAAGATGTAGTAAATATACTGCATTACTGAAATTAAAGTTGTAATGCGCCACAAAGAACTTTTATGTATAACAAAGCGCCTTGAATTAAATATATAAAGGAATGTACAAAAAAGGTTTGTTAAATAAACACCATACTCGTGATTTGATCTTCGTGGACAAGCTAAAATTACCCAGCACAATTCTATATTTTATTAAACTCTTTCCTTCAGCCGACGTGTAACAAAAAGTTTGTAATTTCATGTGTTTATTGCATAACTGTACTATCTACTTTTCGTTATTGTTCTATTCCTTAAGATATTTGAGCAACAAATATTTTAATTTTAACCACTTACACAACTGTGGCGTATATTCTTAGGTTTACACCTTGTTGCTCAGCATTTATTATCAACTATACATCTGACGCTGTCTTTGCCGTAAAAGTTACTACATAACTGTAGATGTGCTTTCTAAAGCGCAATAATATGTGAGCTTTACGGTATGGATTTTGTATTTAAAAAAATGGTTGAAACAAGTCTCGTCGAAGAAATAACAGGAATGAATGACTGCATTTTCATTTGTGTCTTTATTGTTTTATTTCGTAAGATGTTTTGAAATTGTCTATGTTAATAACAGTGGAAATACAATGAATGCTTATAAGTTTTTGAAAAAAGGCATTCTAATTAGAGAAATCAGAGGTGTTTTTCGCGTGAGACGTTATGCGTCCATTACTGGCCATATATTACATGTCAGAATTTGGTCCAGACTGCGGACTTGGAAATACGATGTCAACTTGAACAATGATAATAATATGTCAGCTTTCAGCCTCGGTATTTGTCTCTAGAATATAGGATACTACACTGGTATTAATTACAGGAAATAACTAATATTATACGTTATGACAGCTAGTGTTTGTTTCAGGCAATTCATCTGTTATTTATGTGAGAGTGATTTAGTTCAGTTCGCGAGGGAAAATTAGCTTAAATTTGGATCCCTAAGACAATGATAGAAGAGCAAATGGTGTCCATGCATATAATGAGAGATAGCACTATGACTTCTCACGACGAACGCTCTTTCTGACGTACATTTCAGAAACTTAAAAGCAAACGATAATGATGTTTCCATCGTAATTATCTGCTACTCCTGATACGGTTACGTTTGAAACCTTCTGAGTAGGAAACACAAATTCCCACCCTCCGTAACACATTCTCAAGTAAAATTGATATTAAATTTGATGTGTTATGATGAAAGCGAATTGCATTATGATGATGATTACAAATTATTGTGTTGCGATGATTGCTAGAAAGTATTGTGTCATAATGATGACTGAAAATTATATTTGATTTTGTCTCGATTACTGAAACTTCTTTGTGTTATATTGATGACTAAAATTATTATGTTATGTTGATGGTTTTGAATAGATAACATCATGGGCATTTTGGAATTCTAACTCAATATTTATTGAGTGGCAGAATTTTCAGACTTTGAATTTGTGAGGATTTTTTATTTTACTCAAGAAGTTTCAAGAATACTTTGCTTAATATTTTCCAGGGAAAATATTATTCTTATGCTTCATAAACTTTGAAAATACGATGAAAATGCATTTGTTTGTTTTTCTTTTTTGATATCCGCTGAAAAAGATGAATAAAAATGAAACTCTTATAAAATTTGCATATATTTGATGACCATAACAACCACATGGATTATGAATAAGATTATGTTGCTGGAAATAGCCCAGAACTTTATACTCCTTAATTGACACCAGGTTACTCGAAACAGCCCAGAACTATGTGATCATTAAATACAATAATGTTCGTCGAAAGAGCCCAGAACTCTTCTGATCTTTACCTACTATTATATTGTTTGAAACAGCCCAGACATCTATACCCTTTAATTAAAATTGTTGTTCGCAACAATTCAGCATTCCATTCTTTGCAATCATCATTATGTTGCAGATAAGAAGGATATTCGTTTATGTAACTATAATATATGTTTCATCACAGGTTTAATAAATCTCTATACATCAGTTAAATTGTATTATTTAAATCAAATGCACATGATCCAACAAGGGCTGAGAAGTGTGTTTATGATGCAAAATAAATCGTTTTCACAATACTATATTGTTCTTGTGGGTGATGGAGAATAAGAAGTAACTGAACAATGTCCCGCTTCTAAATTCAGGTTGTACCTTTCCCTGTATGTGTCTAATACAGCACAGTTATAGAACTATTGAAGGACTAGATGATATTATTTCCCTCAAACTATAAAGACAATGCTGAAATAGTTATATAACTATTTGGTAATTCGAGGGTTTCATTTTACAAAATTGAAAACAAAACTGTAAAATCAGTCAATCAATAAAGCATGGTCTGTGAAGTTCGAGAACAAGGACCGCGCAACACAGGTTGTAAAATCAGTCAATATATAAAGCATAGGCTTTAAAGATCGTGAACAAGGACCGTGTAACACAGTTGTAAAATCAGTCAATAAATAAAGTTTAGCCAGATACAGTTATACACAATGTTTTTAGTGGATGAAGAAAAAGCAACTAGAAAGTAATGAAGGTCCTGGAAGGAGCTGACCACACGCGGGACGTGTGAATAAAGAGCGGACATATAAAACGAAAATAGTAAAACAATGTGCAAGACAAACATAATTTGCGAGCATTATATTTGATATCTTATTGCTACTCATGCATGCTATATGTAATTTCATTTTAAGTTTTGATTAAAGAGGTGAATCTTGTAAGATCATTTTTGTATCGATGATTCAAAATGTCTACTACGAAACGCTAGTGTAGCGAGGTTAATTACTTTATACATCCTTATGTTTCCGTCAGTCATCAGTAAAAAACAAATTAGTTCTTCCTTGATAGTCATTAATCAGTAACTCTAACCATTTATCTGTGTGTCTTCAGGATCTATTATGACCGCCTTTACGTCTTTGGGTAAACACTATCATAAGTATTGTTGCACATAAACTCAGACAGATACTAATGTAATAGAAAACGTCTTTGCACCCATTCTCTATCAGACTTACTACAAGCAACATTCAGCCTTAGATAGTCAGTCTACAATGTATCATGCTGAGACTCATATTAGTAAAGACTGTCTTTTTTTCAGATATAATTATCAATAGATGTGGTGCTTACAACATAATTGAATTGATTTCATTATTTCAAACGTTATCCTGGTCACATTAAATGAAAAGACTATACATTTTAAGAATACAGAAATTTTCATTCTTTTTGATTTTAAAGTGAATAATTATTGCATGCTGGCTACTTTAAGACCACTAACATGCAATCTGTTCGTGTGGATTATTCTTAAATCAACTGCAGAAACAAATGTTACAGCGCAAAAGTAAACGTTTTCTCAGCACCAGCTTTATTAACCAGACCATTAAATTTACTATTAACAGGATCAGAAAGAAAAACGTTATATTCATTATATACCCGAGCTGATGAATCTGTATACCTAACATCATAAAAACATTTTCTATTGGTCACATCAATTGGTGTGATGTGATGTGATTTGGATTTTTAACGTAGTTTTAACAATTGTTTTTAGTCATATCGCTACGATGTCTGCAGTGTGGCAACTTATAGTGATGTCTAGCACTGGGGCATCATGCCTCGGACATATAGCACGATGTCCCACCCAGTCATATTATCCTTACACCAGGCCGACCAGTCCTAACACTAACCTCTTAATGATGAGCGTCAAGCGAGGCAGCTGTTAGTACCATTTTTGTAAGCCTTTGTTATGACTCGATTTAACCCACGACCTCCCGCATCCGAGGCGGACGCTTTAACCACTAGGCCACCGGAGCGGTTTCACATCAATTGGAGGATAAGAAATCGTTGGTATTTCGGTGACATCATTCACGTTATTCTAGTAAAGATCTTTCACATAATTCATATAACCTAATTCTTATGTTAGATCTTTAAACTTGATATTATTACTTACCATATGTTATGCAATAACTGCATATTCTGTTACAAAAGAGAAAGTCCATTTTTTATTACTGATGTCATCTGCACATACGTTCAGATACAAAACAATCAAATCTCTTCTATTTTAATTTTTTCTTTCTATCAGCAGCTTTCCATCTTCCATTTAATAGTCTTTAAGGATATTTATTTGTCAAGATCACGATTATATATATATATCTATATATATATATATATATATATATATATATATATATATATATATATATATATATATATATATATATATATATATATATATATATATATATATATATATATATGTGTGTGTGTGTGTGTAAACAGATTTAAAAGAATTACTAATACTTCTTATGTCATCAAATGTTTGATAAAAACATCTCGTTCAGCATAGCTGTAAGACTCAAGTACTTAATGCATCATTTTATATGTTCAGAGGAATATTTGTGTGGTCACTGTTTGTTAGTGAGTCAACCAAAATTAGATATGCTGTCACTAACGGATTGGCTTCATCAAGATTTTCTGCTATATCGAATAACGTTTTGTATCAGGATAGTCGATACCTATCTCTTATCCTGCGATTGGTTGTGAGTCGACAATTTTTAGTTCTGCTAGTTCGTCAGGTTCATCACTAACATTTTTTTCGATTTTGTTCTTGTTTCTTACCACCATGAGATTTTGTTTTACGAGGATAGATATGTTGATTGTCGTAGAAATTTCCTTGATAATCTCAGGCACTGTCTTTGTCAACAGCGGCACAACTCGTAATCGCTGTTCCGAGCAATCCTTTTGATGATAGTATATGCTAATAATATCAAAATCACCGATAGTTATTTCAGCTATGGACCCAACATTCCAGCAACTCTAACACAATTATTTTCATTTTCTTGTAGGCCAGATGATCTGAGTGTTAAACATTTCATTCTAGCGATTTCATTGACTGATTAAGCTTCTCTAACGCTTTCTTGGTCTAGCTTACCAATGTCAACCATTTCCACGCTTATTTCACGATCAAATATGTTGTTGCAAAAATCTTTTACGAATCTGATCGACGAAGGATCAATATACATTTATAAATCATTTCACATTAAAGTGGCTGGTATATAATCTATGTTAACATGCTTAATCTATACTCGATCGCAAACACCTATGCTAGGTCGCTTATCGCGTACAACTGAAACATTGTCAAACCCAGATAAGGTATTATTCTTGCGTTAACAACATATATCTAAAAGTCAATGTACTTGTTAACCGTGTTAGCATCAGCGATAGAAATATCGCTGACATCAGGGCACTTAATTTTGATCGATAATTATTTCTTGTTTCTCCTTACGTTGTCCACTCAAGACTTCCTGATATAGCATTGTTAACGACAAAGCAAAATTTGAATATTTTTCTTCAGGATATTGTGTTTATGCCGTTGCAGCAAATCCCAAAGATCATATGTGAAATCAGCCAGATGTGGAATGTAACCAATATTATTGCAAACTAGTTTTGTGCTATCAAATATTAATACTATCAACATAAAAGTTCAGTTACAAAATCAGGTACGTCAATAGACACATATGTTGTTGTTATTCTATTTGCTACCATACCAATGGCTCCTGTGATTGTACCTCCTGTTCGCTTAAGTAAAGAGCATCAGCTGATATGCCTCCAACAACTGCACTTTTTATGCTGCCACGTCAGATAAAGTGAAGATACTGGATAATATATTGCTATTATCTTGTTTGATCCCATATTTAGTTTACATGTCATTATGTCTCCGGAATTTGCTACTCGTATTGCGGTATAACCGGTTATCATATCATCGATGTAAGCTTTGTTTGTCAGATCTGTTGTTGTTGTGGGAAACGGAGTTTATGGTATCTTGTTGACGCCCATGTAAAGATTACCTGTCACAGTCTCACCGGATTTTTAAAAAAATTAGTTGTTTGACAAATTTTGCGTTTGGTACCCAGTGGAGTATTATCGCGTTGAGTATTGCATATCACCTTTCCATCCATGTCTAACGAACGTGTTATATCTCCTCCGGCAAATTTTAAGTACGCTGTCAATGATCATTTTAACCAATCACAATATATTGCATTTAATTCTCCATTTTGAGGAAGGTCTGTTGGTAGTCCTGTTATCTTACCACCGTTGATAAATGAAATAGTACCTGGTACAAAATAACCAGCATCGTTTAGCGGATATGATGTGCTTAGACTTCTTATCTTGTAATTCTTCATGTTCATGTTGCCGATCATTATGCCGCCGGCAAGTGAAAGTTTTTCAGATACAGCTGTGGTTAGTTGATCGGAGCTTACCGCTTGTTTGTTGGTGGCAGGAGAATATGTTGTTTCTTGATCTATCACTCGTTGTCCTAACATGATAATGTTGCCGGTCATTACGACACCCGATTTCTTTAGATAATTTGTTAGATCAGGATCTTCTGTAGTTGCTGTTGTTTTACTGGATGACCCACATACTAACATACCATATTTTGTATAGCAACTCATGCTTATTGTATGATACTGATAAAATTGAAAGGATAAAATTTTGTACACACGTTAAATAATGATCATATTAAACTTTGATAACGCGCGAGTATTAAAAAAATAACAATTCTTAGTTACCTGATTGTCATTACCTGATAGTCTGACGTACTTGCTAATAAACTTGCTACTCAACGACATATTCAACTACGATCAATCCCCAGAAGGACAAATATGAGTTGCTGAAAATGAACAACGAAAAACTAAAACAAATGAACTTGAAGCTGACAAAGATAGTTTTGTTTTAAGATCACTCGAAGATCTTATTCCTCTTGCCGAACTAGACTTGGACAAACGTAAGATTATTGTGTTTAATAACATACCGTTGAGTAATGCTGAGATGGACAAGATAAACTCTTACTTCTCATTATCGAGAAATCGAAGATGCAATGTAATTTATCTTGTCCAAAGTTTATAACGTCGATCGCTTTATCAGTATAAATACTAATTTATTTATATTGTATAAAGAACATTGACGTGTAAAACGTATCACGAGAACAATTCGGTGATGTTTACAGAAACAAATTTGTTGAGCTGTTTCATCGAGGCAGCTCATGTAAATCACAGTTTTTTTACATTCCTTAAACTTGCCATAGATACCAAGCACATGTTCAGATACGGAATTGACAGGTTCGTAAGTTGTAAAGATGTATACAATTAAATTAAGAAACACCAGGAGAATGATTAAGATCTTCAACTCGGCCGCTGATATTTTTGCTGCTAATCGAAACACTGGCACAGGAATTGACAATGAAATAATGGAAATACTTGATCATTTAAGATCGAATCGCTCTTTAACGACGGGCGAGTATTATGTGCTACACAGCGATCTGATTCGCTAACACAAACCAATTATTATATTTTTATCTGGGAATAACAAATACAAATGTCGTCGATGACACTGTTTCTTGACTCATATCAAACAACATCGAACAGCGCAAACATTTAAGTTTTTATAATCCTGTTATCGAACTTGATACTAAATCCACAAAGCAATATGAGATCGAATTAATATTTGATACTGTCTGGCACTTTATGGCAAATTTTAAAGCATTCGTCAACGATGATTTTATGTTCGGGTTGAAAATTAATGGCATCATCAACGGGAAATCTGTTAAGGTATCACATGGCGTCTGCAAAGTCACACATATCAACAAAACAATACAAAATCTTTTAACTGCTTGCAGTAGTGATATACCATCTTATTATTTCGAGATAATTCTGAATTACAACACGTTATAAGATAAGAATAACATTAAAAACCAAATTAAATATTAATGTTAGTAGCTAATGCACAACATAATCGTTGGTTTGCTAGGATTTAATAAGCAACAGTATGGATCTGACACATCTGAGACAATATCATATGACAGCGAGTCAGCCGTCAACATCACAGATGTATTTACAGTATTAGATAAGCTTTTCTATTAAACTGGGTCATACACCTCATGTAGTAGCAAAGGACAGACAATTTATTCGTTTAGCCCTGATGTTCTACCTGGTTTGTTAATGCAAGCAAATACGAGACAAATAATATACGATCAATGTTGAAAATCAAATATCATCAATGACAATGACAGTTACTGATCAATCAGGTCATAAGATTGTACTGTCCTTAACAAAGAAATTTTGAATTCCTATCTTCATCTGCAATTCTGTTAACCGATTGTGGTTAGCTAACTCTGACCAAAAGTAAATTTGTACCAGACAATTTGCATAAACAAGATGAACCAAACAAAAATGTATCACAAAAAATCTTAGTTGGTTTTTTAAAATATCGTTTCAAACATGATAGAAAATATACCTGGGACAGCCCACAAAGTAGCGCCAATCGCGTTAGAAACATCAAAGGCTTTTGCAACAAAAGCTGCATCTGAAGCACGAACTGCTGTCGGACAAAACATTGCTGATACAAGGAAAGGTTTAGTACCAAGTGGTTCAGATGTTTGACATGTCATTTCTGAAATAGCTTCATCATCAGAAACAGCACGTGCGATGATAGCAAGCAAAAAAAATTTTTGTCTCCGGCCGGCGAAGATATTGATAGAAAACTCTTAATACGAGTAAGATACTGCTGCGTTTTATATGTAAAACGATTGTAAAAATCACGAGTTTGTCTGACGATGACAATAAAAATGTCCATTAAAATTATCATGATCTTGCCGACGAGATAACCGTATTCGACTCTATAATTGAATTCGATTATATTCAATATCTTGATGAAAAGTAATGAGCCTAACAAGGCCCGTATCAGAACGTTTTAAATGAGAGACGAGCATGTGTTTTCCTGCTCCGTAAAGCCGTACTTCTAGCATAAGGACAGA